GGAAAATTCTAATCTCTGTTGGGATTTGGTAAGCATGAATTCTCGCTTGCAACCACAAAATAAGGAAAATTCTTATCTCTGTTGGGATTTGGTAAGCATTAATTCTCGCTTGCAACCACAAAATAAGGAAAATTCTTATCTCTGTTGGGATTTGGTAAGCATTAATTCTCGCTTGCAACCACAAAATAAGGAAAATTCTTATCTCTGTTGGGATTTGGCAAGCATTAATTCTCGCTTGCAACCACAAAATAAGGAAAATTCTTATCTCTGTTGGGATTTGGTAAGCATTAATTCTCGCTTGCAACCACAAAATAAGGAAAATTCTTATCTCTGTTTGGATTTGGTAAGCATGAATTCTCGCTTGCAACCACAAAATAAGGAAAATTCTTATCTCTGTTGGGATTTGGTAAGCATTAATTCTCGCTTGCAACCACAAAATAAGGAAAATTCTTATCTCTGTTTGGATTTGGTAAGCATTAATTCTCGCTTGCAACCACAAAATAAGGAAAATTCTTATCTCTGTTTGGATTTGGTAAGCATTAATTCTCGCTTGCAACCACAAAATAAGGAAAATTCTTATCTCTGTTGGGATTTGGTAAGCATTAATTCTCGCTTGCAACCACAAAATAAGGAAAATTCTTATCTCTGTTGGGATTTGGTAAGCATTAATTCTCGCTTGCAACCACAAAATAAGGAAAATTCTTATCTCTGTTGGGATTTGGTAAGCATTAATTCTCGCTTGCAACCACAAAATACGGAAAATTCTTATCTCTGTTGGGATTTGGTAAGCATTAATTCTCGCTTGCAACCACAAAATAAGGAAAATTCTTATCTCTGTTGGGATTTGGTAAGCATTAATTCTCGCTTGCAACCACAAAATAAGGAAAATTCTTATCTCTGTTGGGATTTGGTAAGCATTAATTCTCGCTTGCAACCACAAAATAAGGAAAATTCTTATCTCTGTTGGGATTTGGTAAGCATTAATTCTCGCTTGCAACCACAAAATAAGGAAAATTCTTATCTCTGTTGGGATTTGGTAAGCATTAATTCTCGCTTGCAACCACAAAATAAGGAAAATTCTTATCTCTGTTGGGTTTGGTAAGCATTAATTCTCGCTTGCAACCACAAAATAAGGAAAATTCTTATCTCTGTTTGGATTTGGTAAGCATGAATTCTCGCTTGCAACCACAAAATAAGGAAAATTCTTATCTCTGTTGGGATTTGGTAAACATTAATTCTCGCTTGCAACCACAAAATAAGGAAAATTCTTATCTCTGTTGGGATTTGGTAAGCATTAATTCTCGCTTGCAACCACAAAATAAGGAAAATTCTTATCTCTGTTTGGATTTGGTAAGCATGAATTCTCGCTTGCAACCACAAAATAAGGAAAATTCTTATCTCTGTTGGGATTTGGTAAGCATTAATTCTCGCTTGCAACCACAAAATAAGGAAAATTCTTATCTCTGTTGGGATTTGGTAAGCATTAATTCTCGCTTGCAACCACAAAATAAGGAAAATTCTTATCTCTGTTGGGATTTGGTAAGCATGAATTCTCGCTTGCAACCACAAAATAAGGAAAATTCTTATCTCTGTTGGGATTTGGTAAGCATTAATTCTCGCTTGCAACCACAAAATAAGGAAAATTCTTATCTCTGTTGGGATTTGGTAAGCATGAATTCTCGCTTGCAACCACAAAATAAGGAAAATTCTAATCTCTGTTTGGATTTGGTAAGCATAAATTCTCGCTTGCAACCACAAAATAAGAAAAATGTGTGAACAATATTAAGTAACTGTTATGTCTAATTCATGAACAGATAGGAACAGAATTTACTATCTTATGTTTCTAACTCATGAACAGATATAAACAAATCTATTAAACTGTTAAGTGTTTTCTCTTATTCATGGGCAGAAAATAAAAAATAAAAATTCTAACTAAAGTATCTACTTCATGAAGAGATATGAACAATTTTGTTAACAATATGTAGTCATGAACAGAGATGAACACAAGAACACAATTTCTTAAGTGTCACAACTCATTCATGGATTCCAATGAACAGATACTAATTTTCATACATAAATCATTAACGGTTATGAACAAATTATAATAATTGTAATATCTAAGTAATGAACAGATATGAACAGGATAAATGTGATGAGTATTTTTGAATAAAAAGATGAGACGATCAGGAGACGGGGAGTTACGATTATAGGGATCTCTCCCGTAAGCACATTTTTGTCTTTTTTTTCTAGGTTTTGAATTACAATTATTTCCCATGTGGAGGTTGACATAGAGGATTGAGGCCGGGGAATTAAGACTAGGTGCCCTTCCTAACGCCCCGCCGCGGGCTCGAACATGGGTCCGTCACCTCCCGAATCGAGCATTCTACCACTGCGGCGGTCCCCTTATATGCCAACAACATTTGGCGTTTCCAGGTGGAAACCCATCCTAGTACTGACCAGACCCAAATGGGCTTAACCTAACTGATCAAACAAAAAGCAG